TTACGAGCCCTTTCGGAGCTCAATTGTTGGAGTTGTGCGAGTCGGAACTATTCCAAAATTCGGAAGTGACATCGACATCCAATAACAATTGTTGCTATGAAGAGCGATCCACGTACCCTTCTTCAGACCAAATAAACAACAACAACAAGGAGATGAAAACTCTCGAGCCACGGGCAGCTGCCACCAACTTCTCCATTATCTTCGACGATACAGCAGACGACCAATTAGATAACGACATCTCAGCATCTATAGACTTCACTCCTTCCCCGTCTTTCTCGGCGCCACATCATCATCAACAGTATTACAACAACAGTAATAGCTGCAGCAACAACAACAATAACCAAGAAGCCTTAAACAACAATAATATCCCATCAATAAACATAATAAACGGGGGGGCGCTGCCCCAGTACCCACCCCCACCCCCTACTCTACTGCCTTACGAAGACGGGTGCTTGGAATCATATCTCCGCCTAAGGGCTTCCCAACCTCTCATTGACCAATTGATGCCCCCTTTTTTGCCCCCACCTAACATGAACACATCATTTTCCGCCCAAACTTCCGCAATTTTCCCTCCAAACACTGGCTTGTTGCTTGGGAATGAGCTTTCCAATCAAGATCACTTGGATTTTCAAGCTGATACGGCCGCCTTTTTTCTGCCTGCTGATAACATTCCCAAAGTTTTCAATTGCTCAACTCAACTACAGGTACATTATTTTTTATCTGCTAGACAATCTTTCTGGTCAACAAAAAGTAATATTAATTACAAGTTATTCTTCAAATTCAGAGTTGCTTCGAATTTTATTTTTCTTTGTATCATCTTGGTTCTTAATTCTTGTACGTTTGAGTGATGTAGGCACTTGGTAGTGAAAATCCGCATCTGATACATGGAGGAAGTAGTACAAATCCACTAGCTTCAGAGATTTCGAGTTTGGATGATCCCACATTCAAGGTCGGAAAACTCTCTGTAGAGGAGAGGAAAAGGAAGATTCACAGATACTTGAAGAAAAGGAATGAAAGGAACTTTAGTAAGAAAATCAAGGTCCTTTCCCTTTCTCCCTCTCTCTCTCTCTAATATTGTTTGTTTGATACATGTTTATTTATATACAAAAAGTAGGACAGCTAAAGTAAAAGAAATTGAGTCCCATCACATTTTGATCCACCAATATTATTGTTAGCAATTTTTTGAGAGATGCTTAAAAGTATATATAATTTATGTGCAGTATGCTTGCCGGAAAACGCTTGCAGACAGTAGACCAAGGGTCAGAGGAAGGTTTGCAAAGAACGACGAACTTGGAGAACTTGCAAGAACAACCGGCAGTAATCACGAAGACG